AGAGTATCATGTCATCTGCAAATAATGACAATTTGACTTCTTCATTTCCTATTTTTATTCCTTTTATTTCTTTCTCTTGTCTAATAGACGTGGCTAATGTTTCCAAAACTATATTGAACAGGAGTGGTGATAGTGGACATCCTTGTCTTGTTCCTGATTTTAGTGTGAAGGATTTCAATTTTTGACCATTTAGTATGATATTGGCTGTTGGTTTTTCATAGTTGACTTTTATCAGATTGAGGTAGAGATCATCTATTCCAAGTTTTTGTAGGGTTTTTATCATGAATGCATGTTGGATTTCGTCAAATGCTTTTTCTACATCTATTGAGATGATCATATGGTTTTTGTCCTTGGCTATATTTGTATAGTATATTACATTTATTGGTTTGTGTATGTTGAATCATTCCTGCATCCCTGGGATGAATCCCACTTGGTCAGGCTGTATGATCTTCTACATTCTATTTACCAGTACCTTATTAAGAATTTTTGCATCTATGTTCATTAGTGAGATTGGCCTATAGTTCTCCTTTTCAGTTGCATCTTTCTCTGCTTTGGGGATCAAGGTGATGCTTGCTTCCAGGAATGAATTTGGGAGTATTGCTTCCATTTCAAGTTCATTGAAGAGTTTAAGCAGTAGCGGCAGTAGTTCTTCTCTAAATGTCTTGTAGAATTCAGCAGTGAAGCCATCAGGACCTGGGCTTTTCTTAGTTGATAAGTTTTTAATTATGTTTTCAATTTCATTGATTGATATTGGGTTGTTTAGAATTTTTAGGTCTTTTTCCCTCAACTTTGATAATTCATACATATCTAGGAATCTGTCCATTTCTTGTGTTTTCCGTCTTATTGGCATATAGGTTCTCAAAGTAGGTATCAATGATCCTCTGGATTTCTTGTGGGTCCCGTTGTAATTCCATCCTTTTCATTCTTAATTGCATGGATTTGGGCCTTTTCTTTCCTTTTTCTGATAAGGTTGGCTAAGGCTTTGTCAGTTATGTTTATTCTTTCAAAGAACCAACTCTTGGCTTCATTGATTTTTTTGATATCTTTCTATTAGTCTCCACTGCATTGATTTCTGCTCTGAGCTTTATAATTTCCTCCCTTGCTTTGGGTTTGTCCTGCTCTTCTTTTTCTCAAAGCTTGAGGTTCAGGATCAGGTTGTTGAATTGGGCCCACTTTGTTTTCCTAATATGAATATTCACTGCTATGAATTTCCCTTGATTCCAATATGTTATATTGTCTTAGTGATTCAATTGTAGGAACTGTCTGATTTCTTCTTTCATTTCCTCTGTGACCCATTGGTTATTCAGAAGTGTGTTGTTTAATTTCCATGTGTTAATGAAATTCTTGCACTTTCTTTTGATATTTTTGATCTCCAATTTCAATACACTATGGTCTGATAATATACAGGAGATAACTTCAATTCCTTTGCACTTACTTAAACATGTTCTATGAGTGAATATGTGGTCAATTCTGGAGAATGAGCCATGTGCAGCTGAAAACATTGTGTATTCTGATTTTATGGGGGTGAAACACTCTCTAAACATCTTTTAAGTTCATTTGTTCAAGAGTTTAATTGAGTTCTAGTATTTCATTTCTTGTTTTTTGTCTAGTTGATCTATTTGTGACAGTGGAGTATTGGGGTCCCCCACTACTATTGTATTAGTGCTTATTTGATTTTTCACATCCTTTACTATTTGTTTTATATAGTTGTGTGCACTAGTGTTTCGTTCATATATGTTTATGATTGTCATATCTTCCTGTTGGATTGTTCCCTTTACAAGGATGTAGTGTCCTTCTTTTTTTCTCTTAATCAGCATTGGTTTGAAATCCACTTGATCTGCCAAGAGGATAGGTTCCTGTCACATGGAGTATTGTTTTGCACTCTTAACTTTCAGTCTATGAGTTACTTTCTGAAATAAGTGTGTTTCTTGTATGCAGCATACTTTTGGATCTTGCTTTTTGACCCATCCTGCCAGTCTATTTTTTTGTTTGGATTGGTGAGTTGAGACCATCAACATTGATGGTTATTATGTATTGACTTATTGTCATGACTTTTTCTTTTTGTTGGATTCTCCTACTTTGAGTTTAATTTCTTTTCATTCCCAATGGGTTCATTCTGCTGGGCTTCCCGGGGTTGTTATTCCCATTGTCCTTTCATAGGATATTGTCTAAAACTTTTTGGAGTGCTGGTTTGGTATTCCTGAAGTTCCTAAGATGCTCTTTGTCATAAAAGTATCTTATTTCTCCACCAATTTTGAAAGATAGTTTTGCAGGGTACATTAATCTGGGTTGGAGGCTGTTTTCCT